AGTATGACCAACGTTACGGATTTATGGCAAAAATTGCCTCATAAGGAAATTACCGGCAATGTTTAATCCGGACATGTGTAAGCCATGACCTGGTCATGTGCCAACACTGATTGACGTGTGCATGCTAACACGTGATTGAAAATTTTTTATAGTGAAGTCAATTTGTAAGAAGATAATTGGTAATGGTGCTAACAATTAATAATAGTTATTAATGTTTTCAAAACTGTTCTTCAATAATGATAGATTTGGACAAATGATTACTGATTTTTCTTTTAATTTATCTTTTAGTTCCATGCGAAATTATAGCCAAAAATGCCACCACTAATACCAAACGAAATTCTATGTGAAATATTTAGTAATCTAAATTTTGAAACCGACAACTATTTTATACCAAGTCAAAAGGATTTATTTAATTGCCTCTTAGTAAATCGGCAATGGTGTTTAAATGCTATTACAGTTCTCTGGGCCGAACCTATGCCAGTAGACAAAGATAGAAACATGGTCCAAATATACGCAAAAGTTATCAAAACATACCTTTTGTTTATTGATGTGCAAGATAAACAACAACTTATTGATTATGGACTTAGATTTGCAAACACAAATTCCAAGGATTCTCGTACATTTCAAAAATCTTTACAAATACTTTATGGTTCAAAAGACTATTCTAATTCTCAATCCACTCACGTAGTTAATGATTCAAATACTATTGAAAAATCATTTCTTAATTCACAAGTTTACACTCAATCTTCTCACACATTGTTATTTGATTATCCATCATTTTTACGGTACCTAGATATTGACAGATTATTACTTGGAATAATATATTTAATTAAACCAAATGTAACATCCCGACAACCTGGTGACATTATAATATTTCAAGCAATTTTAAAAATGTTAGCGAAACGTTGTAAAAATCTTTTAAGCCTTGTGATTGATAATCAAATGGAGGATTAATTAATACGATTTGATGATATGTTCATAATGCTTAATCCTGAAATTATTCCATTAATCTATCCAATTAAAGAGATTTTTATTACTGTTAATTTTCCAATGAGTAAGATTTTTTTAACTTTATCTAACTTTTGTAAAAGTTTGGTTAGTAAATTCATGAAATTTTTCTTTTTTCTTTTTAGTTATTTTTTGTCGAATATTGTTAATCAAACGATCTTTTTTTTTTTTAGGACTATATAGATATATTTAATCCACAAGAAACAGATAGCAGTGGTATTGCATCGCTGATAATATCTCAAACATCACTACGTACATTAGTACTTCGTGGATTTCAATTTCTGGATCAAATATTATGTGCTCTTCCATCTCAATCCGGTTCACTCAAAGATCTTACTTTTTCTTTTGTAGATTTTTCTAAATGTTCTCCATTACATGGTTTAGCAGCGTGTAAAAATTTAAGAGAATTGAAATTTTGGGTGTGTTATAATATTTCAGATGAAATATGTGAACCATTGGTGAACTGTGAATTTGAGAAATTAAGTATCGTTGATTTGGAAGATACTTATAGCAAGATACTTATGGAATTGAAAGAGAAAAAAGAGAATCAGCAGGAATAATAAATTAGGTTAATGATGAGACGCAGAAAAGAGTTATTGGTGTGAAAAAGCAAGAAATTAAAATTTTGAAGATGAGCAACAATATTTTATGTCACAGAAAAAAAAAAAAACGGGTAGAAAAAGTCTTTAAATATTCTATATAGACTGGAAACATCCTGATTATAATCAAAAAAGTTTACACGTTGATCTCACCTCTGAAATTGCTGCAATCATTGAAGAAAACTCTCACCTCTGAACTTGCTGCAATCATTGAAGAAAACACTCATTACAAACAATTGCAATAAACAACAGAACCAGATGAATTCGAAGATAATGAGCTCTTTATTTCATTGTTGATGGTATGAGCTGATTTTAATTCCAAGCAATTCGCAATTTTAGCTAGTGACAACCATTTTACAAAGCACCAAAATTACAAAAACCAAAACGTGCGTAATTCCATGTTGAGTGTTATAAATACAATTGATGAATATTTGTTGCGTAGCTAAAAATTTTTTGA